TGCCTTATCTAGACTTAATGACAGATAAGAGAGAAGACTTAGTTTATCAGATACATATTGACAACTGCCTCTTTAAAGCCTGATTTCCATTTCAGCATTAATGCAGGACTGGGAAAGCAGATAAACACTACTCAGGAGATAACCTTAACCCTCAAGTCAGGTTATGCTAATCTTATTTGAAACCATTTGCAAGTAATTTGTCTATTTCACCCCAAATGCCACAATATTTAGCAATACAAGTTGCATGGTTTCAGAAGTACTTTAAACTGTCAAACATGAGAGCAAAATATTATTTTGAAAAATAATACATCATTGCACCCTCTTTTCACTGTTTTTTTTTTTTTTTTAATTTTCATTATCTAGTTAGGAAGTAGGCAGGGAGGCAGGGTGAAAGGGAGGCAGGGAGGGAGGGAGGGAAAGAGAGAAATGAGCAACAAGCAGAGAAGAAGAGGAAGAAGAGAAAAGGAAAGGAGATGGGAAGGAAAAAGAGAAGGAAAAGAGGAGGAAAGGAAAGATGAGAGAAGCTAAAATCATTCCTACTTGCTGGGTTCAGTCTGTCTTTTTTAAGATTTTCCTTTGAGAGAGGATAATGCTATCACCCTCCCAGGGTTATGGTGGAAACTAAATGGAACGCAACCAGCAAGGTATCTTACGTGTACTTAGTAGCAATAGTTAAAGCATCATGGTACTTTCCATCCCTATAAAGTGAAAACTCCTTTATATGGGCATCAGCCACCAGGAAAGACAATCTGAAATCACTCACCCCAATTAGTATTGTTTGGGAAACTGCTGCCACGCGTTATGCTTGTTAACATATGCTTGTTCACAGTGCATATTCCCATCTAGATTGACTCAAGTCTATGAGTATCATGTCTAAAAAGGTTTTTGTGCATTTAACATTTTAAAAAGAGAATTAGCTAATGTGAATTGAGCTGCTATAAACATTGATGTGGCTGCATTACTATAGTATGATGACTTTAAATCCTTTGGGTATAGACTGAGGAGAGGGTAGCTGGGTCAAATGGTGGTTCCATTCCAAGTTTTTTAAGGAATCTCCATGCTGCTCTCCAGAGTAGTTGCACCAATTTCAGTCCCACCACCAATGTAGAAGTGTGCTTTTCCCCCACACATCCTCACCAACATTTATTGTTGTCTATATTCTTGATAACTGCCATTCTGACTGGAGTGAGATGAAATCTTAGAATAATTTTGATTCGCATTTCTCTAATTATGAGAGATGTTGAACATTTTTTTCATATATTTGTTGATCAGATGTATATCTTCTTCTGAGAAGTGTCTGTTCAACTTCTTAGCCTATTTATTGATTGGGTTGCTTGTTTATTTGGAGTTTTTTGAATTCTTTATATAACCTGGAGATTAGTGCTCTATCTGACATGTGTGTGGTAAAAATTTGCTCCCAAAACGTAGGCTCTCTCTTCACCTCATTGATTCTTTCTTTCGCTGAGAGAAAGCTTTTTTAGTTTGAGTACATCCCATTTATTAATACTTGATTTTATTTCTTGTGCTTTAGGAGTCTTGTTAAGGAAGTTGGGGCCTAATCCGACGTGATAATGATTTGGGCCTACTTTTTCCTCTATGAGGCAAAGCATCTATGGACTAATTCCTAGGTCCTTGATCCACTTTGAGTTGAGTTTTGTGCATGGCGAGAGAGAGGGGTTTATTTTCATTTTGCTGCATATGGATTTCCAGTTGTTCTAGGACTATTTGCTGAAGAGGCTATATTTTCTCCAATGTATGTTTTTGGCGCTTCTGTCTAGTATGAGTTAACTGTATTTACGTGGGTTTGTCTCTGTCTTCTATTCTGTACCAAAGGTCTACATGTCTATTTTGGTGCCAGTACCATGCTATTTTGTTACTATAGCTTTGTAGTATAGTTTAAGGTCTGGTATAGCAACTCAATTCACAATAGTTAAATTGTGGAAGCAACCTAGATGCCCTTCAATATATGAATGAATAAAAAAAACTGTGGAATATATACAGCATTAAAAGAGAATAAAATTATGGCATTTGCAGGTAAATGGATGGAGTTGGAGAATATCATGTGAAGCAAAGTAGGCAATCCCCAAAACCCAAAGGCTGAATGTTCTCTCTGATAAGTGGATGCCGTGGGGGGGGGGGATGGGAAAAATGGAGGAATTTTGGACAAAGGGGAGGAACAGGAGGGGAGAGGGGAGGGGGGCCAGGAAGGATGGTAGAATGAGATGGATATCATTATCCTAGGTACATGTATGACTGCACATATAGTGTGACACTACATCATGTACAACCAGAAAATCAAAAAGTTGTGCTACAATTATGTACAATGAATCATAATGCAATATGCTATCATATATACCTAATTAAAATAAATAAATAATTTTTTTAAAAAACTCTTAATAAAAAGAATTAGTTCAAGCTATCAGGCTATCCTTGCCCAATACCTACTGTAAATGTTTCAGTTATTGTGTAGGTGGCAAAGTTAATATCATTTTTAGTTTGTATAACTTTCAATAATTTAAAACACATCAGTTTACATTCTCTCAGTAATTTCTTGCAATAACATTATTGGATATGCAAAGTGATATTAAACCAATTTTAATATGTAAAAATATGAAAGCCACAACTCACCAGTAATGAAAGCATGTCTAAACCCCAGATTTCCAAGCTCTTTATCCATTCCTTTGACCCCCACCACACTGCTTCCCCAGGCAATATTTATAAAACAGAATTCTCCCTCTTATCAAGGACAGCATGATTGGCCATGAGAATTGCTATAAGAAAATTCTTGTCCTTAATTCATAACTTTCAAGGGAAAATATGTTTCCTCTCAGAGTCTGTTGACTCCAGGAACATTATTTGAGCTCATATTTTCAGAGCTGGACTTTCAAATTCCACAAGGTGAAGCTACCACTTATCACAGTGGCAAGAGAGGACATGGCAAAATAAACCCACTGAACAAGGGCAATTAATATTATTTTATGAGGTAACATAATTCTGAGGGGGAAAATAGCATTAAAATCAAATGCCCATGTTGCTCCTTTGATTTACACCTTTGGTATTCAGGTATCCACAGTGGATTTGTTCATCTGTGGGACTGTATTCATGTTTTTGTGGTTTAGTTTTGCTTTAGAAATATCTTCAATATTCTTTTTAAAAAAAACTTAGCATTTGTTTACTTGCCTCATGGAACTTTTTAAAAAGCACACAAATATTTCATGTATAAATTCCCATTAGTAGAGATGCAAATAATATAGAATTCATAACAATAAGTGAATGCTCTTTTTTTCACATACCTATTAGTAATAAGGTGAATAGTTTGCCTGTTTCTAGTCTACATACTTATATAAATATGTGTACAGATACTTATAAATATGCAATGATACTGAATGTATTATACTGTTTTGTTTTATTTATTTTTCCTTACTTTTTTCTCAAAAATATATCTTGGGGATCTTTCGGTCTGCATGTATATGTATTTGGGTGTGCTATCTATGTGTGTGTGTGTGTGTGTGTGTGTGTGTACATCTGTGTGTACATAATACATGTGCTTGGAGTTTGAAACCACACATCCTATTTCATCAGTGAATACGCCAAAGTAAATACAAACATTCCATTAATGATGGATATTCTGGTTGTTTCTGATTTTCAGTGAATGAAACAATGCTGCAATAACATCACTGTATGTTAATTTCCTCCTCCTGTGAGTTTATACTTTTCTACAATACATTCAAGAGGTAAAGTTGACAGAATCAAAAAAAAATGCCTACTTTGTCAAACTGTTGCCCAAAAAGTTTCATCAATGACTCTCTCAATCATGCATGAAGCTATTGTTTTTACCACACAGTCACCAACACAGACTATAATCTTTTAAAATTCTCCTCCAATCCAATGCATGAATAGGATGATTTAGTCATTGTAAAGAATTTCCTTCGCATTAGCAACATGACATCTCTTCAGAGGAATACTAATAATGTGCCATTGCCTTTGACATAGTTACTTAACCTCTTGGTGTCTGAATTTTATTACCTCTAAAATGAGGATAAGGAATAATGCCTACTTCATATGGCATCTCCTGGTTTTCTATTTGTGTTCTTCTTTTTCAAATGATGTTTTGGTCACTTAACACACATTTAATGAGCACCGACAGTGTTCCCAGGCACATTCTAGGTGTGGGGATTATGTGAGGGAACAAGATCAAGTGGTCACTCTCATGGAGCTTATGTACGTACATCGTGGTGGGGTGGCAGATAATATAGAGATGCAAACGGATAACATTGTTTCAGGCTGTTTATGATGAAAAAAAATCAAGCAAGGTGTGGGCTAAGAAACTAAGTATACTGTGGTATATATGGTAGTCAAAAAATATTTCTGTGATGGGGAAATGTGGTAGAGGCATGAAGGAGGTGAACTTCAATGCTGAGAGGGGACAGCAATATTCACAGAATATTGGAGAATTAATGTGCTGATGCAGAGAGAATGGGGGTGAGGACAAAGACAGATGGTAGCTAAGAGGAGCCAGGGACAAGATCCTGAGTGCCTCATAAGACAGGAGGAGGAATTTTAATTTTATTTAAATACAGAGGAAAGCCAGAGCACTGGCCTCTGAATTGCTAAATTGTAAGTTAAAAAGAAAATTAAATGCTAAGTTTCCTATTCAAGCAGATGCCTCCCGAACAACGTCCACTTGCCCTTATAGCAGCTCACAACAAAGAAAAGCCCATATTCAGCAATCAGAGTTTCTCTCACAAGCACAGATTCTAAAAAGCAAAGCTAAACAGAGTCATCAAGTTGTGGAATCGTGTCCCTGACCTACACCCACAACCCAAAAGCAACCCTGAGGTATTTTTCTTGTTCTTTCCTGCACTGCCCTTTGCTAGCTGATGGACCAGGAGCAGGAACTCTAGCAGTGTTCAGCCACCGAAGTGGAAAAGAAGATTCGCTGCATGAACACCAAGATCAGGCAGGGTAGCACACAACTCGCCTTATTATGGAAAGCCTACCTTTGCAGATGGTCCCGTTGCCCACGTAGCCTGGTTTGCAGGTACAGCTGTGTCCCTGGACCGTGTTGGTGCAGATGGCATTCTCGTCACAGTTGTGCTGTCCGCTTCCACATTCATCGTGCTCTGTCAGTGGGTAGAAGAGAAAGAGACACCTTTTCTTAGGCTGGAATTACTGGTATTAGAATTTAGCTGGAACTCACCACCAAAAATGACAGTGACTACCATGAGTGGGGAACCTTATTATGTACCTGTTTCCACATCTGATATGTTTGAAGTCTCAGTGACTCTGAAAGATGGATGCTATTATCCCCAATTTGAGGATAAAGAAAAACAGTATCAGAGCAGTCACACGAAGTCACACAATTGGGAAGCAGTAGTCTAAGGCCACAGCTTCCTTCACCTTCTGCAAAGGTTTCCACAGATGCTCCAAGGCAGGGGTTCTCAGCAGGTGGCGATTTTGCACAGCTCCTCTGGAAACAGTTGATGACAAGATTTTGGGCTACCTTATTGAGGAAGTGCTACTGAAATCTAGTAGCTAGAGAATAGAGATGCCGATGAGCATCTTACGAAGAACAGGAGAACCCACACAACAAAGAAGTAACCAGTCCAAATATCAACAGTGCCACAGTTGGGACATCTTCCTCCCAATTTACCATGATAAATTGCCTGGCTTCTTTAGAACAAAGAGGGTCAAACTGAAGAGGAAAAAGGCCCAGCCAATATACTGTATGTACCAAAGGACATTTACCAACAGGTCTCTTAAAAGGAGTAATTCTTCTCACAGGGGATGTTGGTGAACACAAATGGTGCTGAGTAAGAAAGGGATTTACTCTCAGGACTCATCAATTCTAATTCTCCGTAGGGTGCATAATCTAACCTCAGAGTAGTTTCCTGATATGTGGTGATATTGTTATATATAGTCAAATAGCTGCAGCATCCTTAATCCATAATGGAGGGAAATGAATCCGACTACAAATGGACTAAAGCAGTTCAAGTCAGACCCAGATATCATGGCTGACAATCCTTTCCTCTTGTAGCCAAAAAGTTTATACAGTTATCCAATTGATTTCTATAAATAAACAATATGGGAAAGTTAACACTCTTTAATATATATCAGTGTAACTTTTTAGAAACATGAAGAAGAAAACTCTGGTAAAGCCATCAAATTTACAAAAGGTTATAAAACAGGAATAAAAATTTCAGCTAGAAACATCAAAGAAATACCACTAATCAAACAAAACTTAAAATTGAGCATAGTTTTGATAAGTGAACTGTTAAATCAATATACTAATCAGTTGAAATATCCATTTTCATTAAATTTTTTACTTTAAATTTCCTAATGGGATCTAATAATGAAAAAGATTAAATCTCAAAAAATAGAGCTGTTTTAGTAACTGATACACAAATGAGGTAAAGCACACACCTGCATCTGACTTGATTTGATACCTAAGATTTTCCAAAAAATATTTTTCCTTTAGGCTTCAAGACCAACCCAAACCATCATTGAGAAATGTGCACAGGTTAGAAAGCAGTGAGAAGGGAAGGGAAGATTTATAAGGACACACTTCCAGCCTGTCTAAAGCCATCTCCAGCATGCCCCAGAAGTAGTATAAACCTGTAGATGTCAAATCCAACGTACCGACCTATCAGGCACCTAGTACGCACAGGTAAAAACCAGAAAATTTAGATGGACAAAAAAATGTAGGGACATAGGCTTAGAATCCAAAGTTTACAGTCTCCTTATTTAAATTCTTTTCATAAGCAATTATTAGGGTCTATACTGAGAGAAGTAGATAAGATCTTTGATCATATAAACTTGTTAATAGGGGCCATCACACATCAATATGTAACTAAATAGGAACACAAGAGAGAAGTGATGAGTTTTAAGTAGGTGACTTCATATTTTGTCATTCAAACAGGATGTATTTTAAAGAGAAAGAGTGTTCTATTAGTAAAGACACTAGGATAATAGGCATAATTCAGAATAACCTAGGCAAACCAGCATGTGTGGTTATGCTAGATAAGAAGAATAGAGATAATCTGAGGCTGCCTCATCTTGAAAAACCAATTGAAATACTACCTGACAGATTTTTCTCTTCTCGTCATTAGAAGGCATTATTCCAACAGGTCTTTCAAGAATGGTCATGATTTTCTCAGCCAGAGTTGCTCAAGGGCACACGAGGCAGAAGAGCAGAGTGGAGAAAGACACAGTTTTATGTAACATTCAAAAGCCTGGTGCATCTTTGCCTACCTTCCCTTGACCCCTAGTCCTCTTTCTGATGAGGGAGCCTCACGGCTGTCCTGAAAATGATTTCAAGCCTACCTCTCTAGCTTTTTCATGCTGCTTCTCTGACCCAAAATACTCTCCCACAGGGTAGCTGGAATATGTGTGTCCCTGCCTGGCTTCAGATACCACTTCAAACTCACACTCTTGTCAAGGAGTCATCTACACAGACCTTGAGACCAGGCAAACCTCACCCATCTTGGAGATTTATGAAATTTAATATCTTTACCTTGTTGGCGGCAGTCATATCACAGTATGTTGTAGTATTTACAAGTTTTAACATTAATGTTTTAATGAACTCATGAACTTTTCAGAGAGAAATTGTGACATAGTTTCTGAAGCCCTCATTTTACCAATTAGTTTTTTATATAATGAGTGGTATTGAACCTAGAATTCCAAGCACTGGAATGAAATAAATATATATATATATATATATATATTGAATAAACTGAGACAAAAGGATGGTAAACAAGCTTTTCACATCACAAAATTTGTAGATAAGGGAGCTCAGATTTGTGAATCTACATACCAGGTGAATCACCACCTTGCTGAGCAGTTGTTGGAAGTAATTTGAATGTGGCTGAAACTAAACCAGTACATGTGGAAATGATTTCATCATGTCAAAAATGGAGGCTCTCTTCTGTGCTTGTTCCAAATTCTCACTGCAATCTCTTACATTCTTCCCAAGAATACAAAACTTGTTACTGAATGACAAAGACTACAAAACTTCCATATCTCAGTATCTTTCATCTCGCCCAAATTTGCAAAATGACTAGCACCTTCAAAACTGTTTGATGAAGATGGACAAAAAAGACATGATCTCCTTCTAAATATATCAAATTCCTTTCCAGCTGTTGGAAATGCTGCAAATGGTATAAGACAGGTGCTCATGAGAGTTAACATGGCACATAGGTTAAAAGCACAGACTCTGGAACCACCAGCCTTGGTTATATGGTGCATTTGACAATTACTAACTATGTGCACTACAGTAAGTTATTTAGTCTCTTTGTGTCTTAATTTCTTCATTGCAAAATATAAATAAACCTGATATTGTTGTGAGGAATTAAATTAGCTAATATAGGGAAAACACTCATAGTACATTGCTACTAGTAAGTGCTCCATAAAGGTAAGCTATTTTATTATCACCATTGTATTACTATTATTACCACCACCACCATCACTATAGCCTCCTCCACTAAATTACTCCTCCTCCTCCTCCTCCTCCTACTACTACTATTATTACTACTACCTACTACTACACAATTACTTCTGGGAAGACTTAATTGTCACATGATAGCAAAAATTGGTTGAGAAAACTTTGTCTTTCCTTAACAGGATGGTCGTTTCTGCAGAAAGACTGAACACATAGGCAGTTGAAGAAAATTAATTAGGGGCTAGGTTGTGGCTCAGTAGTAGAGTGCTTGCCTAGCACGTGTGAGGCCCTGAGTTTGATCCTCAGTACCACATAAAAATAAATAAATAAAATAAAGTTTAAAAAAAGAAAATTAAATTAGAATCTTTTTGAAAGTCCAAAGAAATATTAGCTTAGGGTCAATTATGGTCCCTAGGAAACAAGACTATAAATTGGGAATGTGAAGAATGTGAATTTAGGATTGTACAGCCTGAGTCTGGTTTTAGTATACCTGGAATATCCAAACTCTCACGTGGATAACGACTGTGGCAGCAAGCTGTCTCTCCAATACATATCCTTGCCCCCGCTAACATTTGAGCACTCATTAAGCACAGGCATTATCACATACTTCCTTTTTCTTGCCTTCTCCTTTCTATTCCATGGTATATGTCAGAAGGACTCTAACTTCTCCACATCTGTCACCGTGCACCATATAAACAGGATATATTTTAAAGAGAAAGAGTGTTCTATTAATAAAGATGCTAGGATAATAGGCATAATTCAGAATAACCTAGGCAAACCAGCATGTGTGGTCATTGTCAATCAACATGTTGTTTTCCTTAGTGAACTAGTTAGGACCCAACCCCCACCAAACAGGTGCTGCATGTGTGGCTCTAAATGTCCCAGATGTGAGGTCTAGATAATCCCTCATGTATACATACCTTACAAAATTGTTGCAACTACCCCCACGTCATACTCTCCTTGTATTTGCATTCAGTTAACACTCTTCTATACCTGTTCACCCTCAGCAATCATCTCCTGTCAAGCACTAATCTGTTATCCACCCCTACAGTTTATCATTTAGAGAATGTTATATAAATGGAATTATACAGGAAGTCAATTTTGAGATTTCTGACTCTTTTCACTAAGCATAATGTCTTTGAGTTCAATACAAATTGTTCTATATGTTAATAGTCTGTTCCTTCTTATTCCATTGCTCAAGGTACTAAAATTTATTCAACCACTCACACAATGAAGGACATTTGAATTGCTTCCTGTATTTTGCTATTATGAATAAAGTTGCTGTGAACATCTGTGCACAGGTTTCAGTGTGAACATATGTTTTTAGTGTTCTGGGATAAATGCCCAAGAGTGTACTTGCAGGATCATCTGCTAAGCACATGTTTAGTTTTGTAAGAAAGTGCCAAACAAATTTCCAAAGTGGCTGTACTACTTTACATTGCCATCAACAATGTACAAGTGGTCTGTTTTTTCCACATCCTTGCCAGAATTTCATGTTGTCACTGGTTTTTATTTTAGCTATTTTGATAGATATGTAATAATACTACATCATGACTTTACTTTGTATTTTGCTAGCATCTAATGATCTTGAACTTCTTTCCACATGTTCATTTGCCATATGCATATACTTGTTGGTACATATCTATTCTCTTTTTGCTTATTGATAAACTTGACTGTTTTATATTG